CAAAAACAGTGTATATAAGGCCAGACCCGATGTGACCACTGATGGCGAGGCATCGCAGGCGACGCCACTGTTCTTGTACTCAATGACAGTGTAATTAATGTAAAGACCGAAAACCATTTGTAGGATTTGTATTAAAGTGATGCCAATACTGATCACTAACGGTATGGATATTCGCATCGCTTTCAGCGCGTAATACGTGTACATAAGGGAGTGGGCGATGAAATTCATGCATACCATCCAACGGGCTGTGGCGGGTACGTCACCGAACACGTACCACGAATAGATCAACGTTAGACAGTGGTGTACCCAATGCAGGGTTAGCAGTTTGCCACCCCGGAGCAAAATGAACAAGGTGTCCACCAGTTCGACCACTTTGCTCCATACAAATAGGATGTACCACCAGTTGAGACGACTATCTTTATAGTAATCCGACTGACAATAGGACGCCTCAAACCCTTTCGTACGTAATATGTGTATGAATTCTGGTAAACATCTTATGACTCCTATAATGGAAAATATGGCCAAAAATGAGTTCCAAAACGTCAATAATGTCCGCAAATTGTATGGCTTTCCGCGACTTTTCATCCATTGTTTTATTATTGGTATTAAAACGATATAACCGATCGATATATACACCGAATAATACCATTTCTTTTGCATGAATTCGTGTAGAGAATCGGCGTTTAGAGTACGAAACATATAGTCTTCCCATTCGGTTACACCGGGAATGTACGCCAAACCCGGGAATTGTGTCCAATCCAGAGACCATTTGTCCGCATTGTAATCAATAATATTATAGTTATTATATCGCATGTCTTTAGCCATCGCTGGTTTGCATGCAAACAAATTGAGTGCAATTTTCAAAAGCAACTCTTTATAAATAATTTAAATATCTTAAACTTTTGATAATGATAAAAGTAGAAGCAATGATTTCCTTTGATTTTTAATTGTTTAATGCTATTTTCTTACGATTAATCTTGATGCATTATTTTAATAAGATATGTTATTTATCTCAAAGTTTATCCTCGTCCAAATAAATACTAATTTATAATTACAGTGTAGTTATTTATAATTTCTTAGGTGTTTTAGGCGGCAAATATATATTTAAGTCATTTTAAATAGAAATAATAGGATGCATTATTTACCAGNTTATGTATAGCTATTACCTGTTGTCGGCATTTGGACCCCAAATACAGCCCTATTTATGGTGGAAGAGATATATCACACGATTGCAGTTAACACAGTTCGCTATACTTATAGTGTACGCCGTATACAGTGTGACAATGGGTGATATGAGCGCATATCCTGCAGGAGTGAAATGGTTGGGAGCTTTACAACCATTTGTATTCTTTTATATGTTTTTTAAATTTTATATCAAATCCTATAGAAATAAAAGTAAGACAAATTAAATTAAATTAATTAAATATTATAGTTTACTGTTGTTTATAGTTATAAAATATTTACATCATTTATTTTAAAATAAAATTTTAAATAAATGAATGTCTGTTAACGAGATTGCAATCGCTAAAACACAAGAGAAAGCGTTTTACGCTTACTCTAACAATTGGGAACTTGAAAGTGACTTTGAGATAATTCACCCAAATTATTTTTAATATATAGATTAAGGCTTTAAAAAGCATCGGGCAAAAATTTTCACCAAATGGAGGTGTTTAGTGGGTTTATAGGGTTTACGCTTACATTTTGCACATGTTAATTTATGGAAGTTAGTTATCTTGGTGGCCGCAGCGCGACTGTCGCGTGTGTCGATGCAGTTTTGTATATACTATTTGCAAGTTTTTAACTCTAACCCCATTTAAGCCCACTAAACGCTTCCATTCGGTAAAATTTTTTGCCCGATGCCTTTTTGAAGCCTTAAACTATATATTAAAATTGATTTGAATTAACTTAAAGTCACTCAATAATAAGTTATTTGATTTATTCGATACCGTATTCTTTGTTTTGAAAAAAAAGTCAAATCAAATCACTTTTCTTCACGTTTACCATCATTTCTATGCATTTCCTATTATTGTGTTTAACAATCTTTAATAACATTTTTATAATAAGTAGGAATCCATTTGAACGAAACTCAATTAATGCCGACGGGAGTGATGTGGTGATGACCAGAACAATGAGGAGACTTCTATTCGTCCTTCCAAACATGCGAATGGCCACAAACACCGGAGTTATGGACATATCTTTAACCGCAGGCATAGGGCTCAATGCATTGAAAACTTGCTTTTTAAATGAGTAATGCAATTTATCATAATTGTAATGCATTTAGGTTAATTGAGTTTCTTTCAAATAGATTCCTACTAAGTTTAACTAAGTTTAATCCATAGTCCCTGTGTTGGGATATATGGCGGCAAAACTATGTCTGCAAATAGTAATCGGAGAAGTGTTTTGTTTGCTTAACTCTATTGTACACACAGTTATGTATAGCTATTACCTGTTGTCGGCATTTGGACCCCAAATACAGCCCTATTTATGGTGGAAGAGATATATCACACGATTGCAGTTAATACAGTTCGCCATACTTATAGTGTATGCTATGTATTGTGTAATGTTTGCTGATTTATCTGATTATCCGTTGGCTATTAATTGGTTTGTATTCTTTTATATGTTTTTTATGTTTTATTAATGACTTGTAAAATGAATAAGAAATCCTCAAAAATAAATTAATTCAAAACTAATTTATAAATATTTAGATGACGGGTAAAGGGTGACGGGAATAAAAGTGTTGTTCCATTTATGCACATTAGTTTTATCCTAAATATTATTGAAATTATAATATAATAAATTTTTTAATTTATACAGTATACTGGATCATATAAAATCAGTGATAGTGTATGATTAGTCTGGTGTTAAAATTTTTAATAACTAAAAACAAAATATTGTATAAATATAAAATATATAAATTAGTTAATTAAAACCAATAACAAGCTAATCTTTAAGTTTTTTATTAGTAGCATTATTATTATTACTACATTTAGGGCTCTTTTTATAGGCCTGTCTATAGAAGTCGTAAAACATGTAGAAAAAGAGTGGATTCTGTCCGACAGCGAACCCAAACCACTCCATAGGATAACCGGTTTGCAGATAGTAAAGGACCGCACCGTAAGCGCCGCACACCAGGAACTGTGCGATTTGGCACTGAGTTATGTACCGTTTCCACCACAGATATCGTTGCACTTTTGGCCCCATATTGGCCAACGCGTAATACCCGTACATCATTACGTGAATGAACGAGTTAAACAACAGGAACATCCGTATAATCGGTATCATAGCGTTATATTTGAATGATACCCAACCAAGTATGGGCACCACAGTGTGGTGGTACAGGTGCAACGTGGTGATTTGCGAGTCCTTTTTACGTAACACAAAGAATACAGTGTCCATCAGGTCCAGGAATCTGGTCAACATCCAGCACCAACCTTGTGGTTAAATTGTCAAGTTAATAGAGTACTGTATTATATAATTGTATGATACTGTTATACCTAAATCCAACAAGAACATGGTCCATTCTGACCGGTCATCACGTGACGGATAGGTAAAATCTAGGAATATTCGGCCGTAATCTATGGCTCTAACGGAATAATAGGCGCCGACGCTATTGCAAAATACCATAAATAAGTTGTAGCACATGATAAAATTTTTCATCACAAATGGAGGCCTAATTTTAAAAACATTTTATTATTAATTTACTGTACAATTGTAAAATTAAAGGCATAAAAACACACACGTACCTATTTTTCATATATGCTGGTAATATAACTCTAGTTATAATCAAATATACGGTCATTACGGTAAGTATTTTCCAAATGCCCCCGTTCATCATATACCAGTGATTGACTCGGGGGTCGCCGATATCGTCCCAATACTGGTCCATATAATACCACAGATTCTTATTGGAAAACATTATGTGAGATATAAATGTATAGAACGAGTCCAGCGACCGATATATTAAACCCGATCACAAGGAATGATGTAATTAATAGAGAGGGGTATAACAAATTCATTAAGAAATGCACTTTTTAGTTGAGATTTGAGAGTATTTTGTGGTTTTTGGTTAAAAATAAATTTAGTAAATTTGTCTTTTTGTTTCAAATAATAGCCCAGTGTTTGACGCAAAGAATATTTTAGTTTACAATCGTTTGTATTAATTATTTTAATTAGTGTTAATTTAATATTAATTAAATAAAGATTTTTCCTGTAAATTTTTATACTTTTATAATTATATGCATTTATTTATTACTTGTTTACTACAAATAGATTTTATAATATCTAATAATATCTAATAATATCTATTTATTAATTTCTAAGATAAATACTATAATTATTTGGATTTAAATAAAAATAATTATTTAATAACGCAAATATCCATACATTAATACTAAACAATTTATTTCGTAAAAAATACGTTAATAGAAAATTTTAACTTTTGTTTAAGTACAACATTAGTACAAATTAGAGCAACCAAAAGATGAGTCATTGCAGACTAATGTAATATGCAGACTAAACAAAAACCATGAATTAGTCAAAGAATGATAACATATAATATTTAACTAATGCTTTAAAATGAATAAATAGTTGTAATAGTCATTATTGTGTTCAAAACTATTAAAATCGATTTCAAATCGATTTCAAAAAGTTGCCCTAGTACAAATGTAAATAATTGTAATATTTATTGACATAATTTAAACATGGTAAATTCAGGACTTTGTTATTTTATTAAAGGTAAAATATGTCAAACATCGTATACTCTTGAAGGGTCAGTGATAAGAAGTTTATTAAGTCTTCGGGTTAATAGATCTCATTTCATTTTATGTCAAATAATACCGTAGTTAGCGTTGCCAAACATGCAGGAATTCCTGTACTATACAGGAATTTTCACTGAATACAAGAAGAAATTTACCTCTACATTGTAAAATACAGGAATAAATATTTCGAAAATAAGCTGTAATACAGGAAAATATAGGAATTTTTTGGCAATTTTCTCACATTTATACAGGATTTTCAAAACAATATTTGGCAACGCTAACTGCAAATTTTATTAAGTGGACGTTTATATATTACGTTTGCACTTGGGGGAGGAGGGGGAATCGGCCAAAGTTTTGCGAATGAGGGGATGACCTTAAAAACATTTGCATTTAAATAATTTAAGGGATTAATTTTTATCAAGATTTTACTCAATATTTTGAATTTTGTTAATATTTGAATAGAAATAGTTATAGTATCAGTATTTGAAATATTTTAAAAGTAAAAATAATTTGATAAAATATTCATTTAAATCATTATTTAATTATTTAAATTAAATGATGTCAAACTCAAAGCCATCATATTATAAGGCTTTCATTAAGTCTTATTCAGCGATTAACGATTTTATTTATCAGGGGTGGGGTTAGAGACAGTCATTTAAAAAAATGACAAAATGTGAACAATTGCGAACATAGGGGAGGGGAGGGTGTAAAGATTTCTTAAAATATGTAAACGTCTCTTAAGTTTAAATTTTAAGTGGCAAAACACACAAATTATGTAATAAATTTATAACCAACAAAGTAAATAATAAAGTAATAAAACACGTGATATTTATTTAATTTATAACAATTTAATTTACAACAAATTAAATAACAAATTTATTAAGTTTTATTCTTTGCGTTATTATTATTAGTATTATTATTAAACTCATTAATGCTGTCATTGTATTGATTGATTGATTTATTAATACTAATACTCAAACGTTTAGTTATGCTATACTTCCGGTTCGGAAGTTTCGGTTTCCGGAGATAAGCGTTGATAAAGAAATTTGAAAACAATACCAAAAACAGTGTATATAAGGCCAGACCCGATGTGACCACTGATGGCGAGGCATCGCAGGCGACGCCACTGTTCTTGTACTCAATGACAGTGTAATTAATGTAAAGACCGAAAACCATTTGTAGGATT